CACCCATCATTCTTAATAAACTTTACTATAATTACCCTGGCCAAGTAACTTATTATAATGTTATTAAGCACTCACCAACTCTTCCAAGGACTCATATAATATGGTAACAGTATAATTCTTTTATTACTTTTATAACTGTAAGAATAAATCCATTTTAAAGATCTTTCACTATACAAATATTGTTAAAAGAACTGGAATAACAATATATTTCAAATATATACTTGTCAAAATTTAATTTAATTTAATTTAATTACTAAAGTAAAATTTTGTGTATATAATTACAATACAACTGTTATATTATTTTGAAATTATATAAGCAAAATATTTATGGAAATGACACGATCGGGAAACTGTATAGAGAATTCATGTGACTTGAAGACTCGATTATAATAAAAACAATAATTATTCAAATTATCAAGATGAAAAATCTATTCTTTTAAATAATATTTTTATATTTTAATCTAAATTAACACCACAGAGGTTCGTATAAGTATTTTTATAGAATGAATAATATTTCATCGCATAAGAACTTCGAAATGTGCCAGTCTGTTATAGATGTCAGATGGTAAACTAAGCAAATGGAGTAAAATCGGGACGGGATTATTACAATTATCTCATATGATACCAACACCACAAGGAACAAATATCGAATGATATTACATACCTATTCTTTACAAACCCAACAAATTGCATGATATTTCGGGCTTTTCTTTGAAGTTCATGCATTTTCTAGAATATCATATTGATGAGTTATATCGTCAAGTCATCAAACAAACAATCACTTAAATACACTTACGCTAAAAGAATCAGTATCAAACGGACCAGGCGAAGGTCGTGTTTTCAGTTGTTGGTGACACTCATACAAGCATTCCATAGTGAGCAACATTATCGCAGGATAATTTCGCCGTATTTCCTCGCTTTTTCCAGATAATTCTTGATTTCGTTTTGCCATTTCAGCCATATCAGCTTCGAGTGGTACGATGTTCATTCTTTCAATTAACTACATGATAAAGTGTCGAAATTGAAAAGTTAATTTACTATCACAATTAAATGTAATCTTTTTCGTAATGATAAAATAGCAAAAATTCACCTCAAGCGCTCTCACATAATCTTTTTGATTATAAAACTTTACGAACTCTGTCAAATCCAACAGTAATTCGCAGTCTCTAATAAGCATCGTTGAGCAACGATTCAAGAGCCGCTCTTGTATATACTGGGTGAACTTTTGCTGTACATATTGTGGATCTAGTTCTTCGTCACTCTCGACTGAAGCTTGTTGATGAGTATAAATCCAGATATATTCACCGAGCATCTTGTTCAATACTGAAATGGCGAAGCTGTATTCCTAATTTTGAATTGCGACATGCATTAAACTTTGGATTCAATATTGAAAAAGAAATTGACACACATGCACAATACACACCTCAGCCAGTTCAAATAGCTCTAACGCTTGTTTATATTTATGATCAAGTTCAAATTGTCTGCCTAATGGTGCTATTATTTTTGCTTTGAACTCCGCATCGTTATGAATATGCAGTAATGGTAAATTCTCGGGTATTTCACCTATCTTTATTCAAAATAAAATGTTAATTCTTTGCTGTGTCTAATCTAAACGATTTTATTAGAAATAATAAAAAATAAAAACACTTGCCAAATTCTTTCGAGGATTGCCCAACAATTCTTCAAAGTTTCTTGTGTCATATACAAGTTTGCGTATATACGCATTACTTAATTCTACTTGGTTGCGTGCTGCCTCCGTTTGTTCATGTCCGTATAAATATAAGAAAGAGTAATAGTGGACCGCAAGTTTTTGTCGCAACGAATAGAATCGCTCCACATAATGATGGATAAGGCCATTGAAGTTTAGGTAGGCGTTAATTCCATCACCATTCTCGAGAACTTTAAGCCATTATGAATAATTTTATTAAATTGAGTTCGTGGTAATATGATTTAAAAATACTTAATTATTTGAGTGAGAAAGGAAAGCTTACGCGTCGCCATAGCGTCTTGATTTTCTGGCACTCGCAGAAGACCATAGTAAGCAAGCGCAATGCCAAAATGCACAGCTTCTACCGAAAAATCGGTTTTATTCAGATAGTCGACAGCCTGATGAATTAGTGATTGATCAATAGGTAAAAAATCAAGAGATAAGGAAGAAAAATTGAGTATGAAAAAAAAGATTATTACTCTTTCAAACTGCGCGGATATTAATAACGCCCTGAAATATTGTACTGGGTCTTTACCATCAGAGGTGTATGTGTTCGGACCGAATTGTATAATATGTTTTTGAAAATTGCCGATAGTTAGCGATTCATTTCCTATTCCACCGACCTCCTTTTCATGCTGAACTATCATCAACTAGAAAAAGAAATGGAATGAAAGGTATATATACCGGTGACCACAAAAAGAAAGTAAAGGTAAAAATAACCAAATTTACGTTAAACCAGAGATAATCTTCTGTCGAAGGAATTGCAGTATTGGGTATAGTGGTCAGAGGTAATTGAGCCAAAATATGATACATAGTCAGCTTGTAATAATCTTGAGGATGTTTAGCAGAAAGCTTGACGCGTTGCTTTATTTCCGCTACAAGTTGTTCTCTTTGTTCTCGTGGAAGTCTGATATAGAAAAGTTATGTGTGTAAATTTTATGAACTTCAAGAGATTACGAATAATAAAATCTTACCTTCTATTTTTTTGCAAGTATTCGGCAAAATATGTTATAAATGTCTTGTCATTTCTATGTAAATGGCGTTCATAATCACGTGCTACCGCCAAAGCTTCAGTTAGATTACCGCCTCGTGTTAAAGTGAAAATTACACCCCATAAAGGAATTTTTTCGGCTATAATCTACAATAAATATGTATGTGTATATATATATTTTGGATAAAAAGACATTATTAAATATTGAGAAAAACCAACATAGTAGAAACATTAATTGAATGAACCCTAGTCTAATAATAATAATAATATCCAGAATTATCGATTGTGAAGAAATCATACCGACAGAGAGTACTACATACTTCCAAGTTGTCCATTGGTTTCCCTCCATTTGGTCGATGAAAGGCGCGCATGAAAGCCTCTGCTTTGTTCCTAGGCAACGGTATTCCTCCCATCTGAGCTTCTTTTCGATGACTGGCAATGTAATCGTCAACCCATTTATTGTACTGATCCTCTAAATATTGTCGGGCGCCGTTTAACAATCTTCGTTGCAATTCATAAAAACTTGTTCCTTGTTGATTTTGATATAAATTAAAGTATTGTAATTCTTTTAATGGATTTCGTTGGAAATGGCCATCCAGCACATTTTCCTCGCCGACGATTTGAGCAAATGCTCGCCAACATTCAATTATTAATTTGTTCTAAATTGTCAATAAACGAATTAGCGAGTAAAGTTAGGCTAAATATTTTTATAAAGTACACGAAAATGTTTGTGTTTACCGATCGATCTGAATTAATTTTCTTGGCAGCATTTAGAAAAGAATTTATAACACCGAAATCCTCATTGTGTAGTCGACTTTCATTTAATCTTAATACAACCTCTGCATAATGAGTCATTTTTGCACTAAAAAGGGTAGCTGCTTCAGATCTCGGAGTCGTTGGATGTCTAGTGGCTGTCCATGGAGTACCAAGAGATCTCTAAGATGCATAATTTGTTGAAGATCGATTCAATAAAATATCTCGGGAAAATATTATTGTATTATATACGTAGATGAATCTATCGCTAACCATTCCTGCTGGTGTATTGGGGTAACTAACTCCAGCTCCGGTTCTGAATGGAGTTTCCGATACTGTCAACATTCGACTAGGAGTAGAAGGCGCGGCTCTTGATGGTGTTCGAGTAGCACTAGTACCACTATATCTTCTGCTTTGATCACCCGTTGTGCTTGGAGTGTTTACGGGTAGTTTGTATTGGCCAAGTTCCTCGAATATTTTGTTTTTTGTTTTTTCCCAGTCAAGGTTAAGCGATTTTTCAAAATCATTGTAGTAGTCTTTGATAGTCTATTCATTTCATTCATTATTTTTCTAAGATTTTTAATCTTAATCAAATTTAATATAAATCAGAAATTATTTCAGTTTTATTCAAACCTGGTTATGACCATCTTCTATTATACTCGATACCGTGCTCCTATATTTGTATTCAGCATAACTCTGTATATAGACATAGTTAGAAAAATAAAATACGCGTCTTTTTGCACGATCTTTATCAAAATCAAAATATAATGATATAGTACCGATATATCTGTTTCTGAAACAAGTTCACGCGGTTCAAAAGCACCCAAGACATTGATGCTGCGTACAGCATTTTCTAGTTTCTCCCCATCGATTCCCCATTTTGCCAGAAAAAAGGGTCTGAAAAAGTAAATAATTATTATCAAAACAACAATATCATTACAAAAAAAATAGACAAAGAAGAAATGCTCTTCAATGAAAAGGAAAATTTCACTTTTTGATGTATAAACAAAATGACCACACGCAAAAACTATTTACAATCCAAAAAAAAATAAATGTCAAATCAAACCCACGCTTTTTTCTCTGGTTGCTCTCCTGGTCTAGTTACTTTACTTGCAAATTTACGCGACTGGGTTTCTATTTCTTCTAGATTTCGTTCTATGGGTGGTAAATCCTTTTTCGCAGAAACACTGTTAGCAAGGTTTCGCGATTGCTCCAAGAGCTGTCTTAGCTGTAAGGTTGTTGACATGGTAGATATGTGTGGTTATTGTTCGAATTGGAGACTGAAATTTTAAATATGGCAAGTTTGATCCGATTCTTGTTCAATTCGAGAATTTGCACTTATGCAGAATCCTTTCTGGTATTGGTTCATCAAATTTAATTTTCGGTAAACCAGACCTTTGTTTATTGTGTCGATAATTTTATTTTACAAGTAATCTTCCAACAATCTCTTAATTGAATTGCACTTTTCTGTTGACATTCGAATCTTTTAAAACAATATCATGGACATAGACACATTAACCAATAAAATTGAAATCTTAAAAAAAAAACTTTTGTGCCGTTTAATCCAAAATCCTTTATCGCATGATAACTGAAGGTAATGGTGACAAAAAAATCAATCAATCATAGAAAATATTATTCAGTCTCCATTGTGTGTGTATATAGGCCAATAATAATATATCAATGATAAATGAAATTTTTTTGTCACAATTTTCTTTGTCGCAAGATCAAATCAACTCTTCAAATTAATTATTTTTAACCAGACAAACTCATCTTACCAAATTTACCGTTCGCTTCCTGAATATTGACGATATTGTTGGTATTGATAGTACTACTATGATTTTGATGATGATGATTATTGTTATTATGATCGATTATCTCCGTATTGTTTGTGAGAACTTGTTGTAGTGGTGTGGAAGGTGTTGAGTTAGTCGAAGTTGACATAACTCCAATCGGTGATGTCGATCCCATAGGTGGCGATGGAACACCCACTATTGGAGGACTACCGACTAGACTCGGTGAGACTGCACGTCGTTTTGGATTGAAATATGGTTCAAATCGATCATCAGAGGCTAAGGAAATAAAGAACCGATTGAGATTCCTTTAGTATAAAAAGAATTGTCTCGTTTCCAATATAAGAAATATAAGAATAGTATTACCTTTTCGTTTTATCCGACTACTAACTGGCCATGGACCCGCGATTGATGAAGTTGGTGACGGAGTATCTTGGCGAAACTTTAAAAGATAATTTAATTCTATGACTTGTACTTAAAATCACTTAACAATATGATGATGATGATGATGATGATGATGATGATACTAACAGACATCTCGACTTCAGGATTTAATTTTGAGGCGGTATATGGCGGAGGAGATGGCTGAACATCACGGAACTTGCTCCACGTAGCAAGAAATTCTTGAGATAATATATTCTATTCGTGGATCAAAATTCGATACCATTATTCAAAATTTCTTACTATAAAAAGATACTAATAATTAATATACCTCCGATGAACTCGAATCAGAATCCATATATTTTTCACTCTCGTTCATCAGCACTTTGGTAGTTTTATACTCTTGCTTTATTTCTGTTTCTAATGGTCTGGATTCATCCTGCAACTCATGAACTATACGTTGAAATGATTTTGTTTTTGGCTATTCAACAAATAAATGCGTGCAGTTTGAATAAATAGTAATTTGAAAGGGAAATCGGCGACCTATTAAAACATATTTTTTTTAATACCAATAAAGACGCCCTTCTTGCTCGAACAGCACGCTGCATTGGAGATGGTTTCTCGTTATTTCTTTGATCGATTATTGAAGGTGAAGGGGAGGAGGAGGAGAAAGCTAAATAATTATTGTCCATATTCACGTCCATACTTAGTCTCCTCATAAATTGAGGATTAGATGCTAAAGATACATTGGGTTTTGGAGATGGCGTTGAATACAACCCATTATAAGTGCCAGTATTACTGTTATTGCTATTGTTATTGTTGATGTTAGGATTGTTCATAGTTTGAGCAGTAACTTGTGATGAGGGAGTTTGATTAGGAGGCGGTGTAGTTGGTGTACTTGGACGTGACAATGACGATGATCCTCTAAATGTAAACGGGAAAATATACGGTGTTTTGCTACTACCACCACCACTACTATTATTATTACTATTGTTATTATTGTTATTATTATCATCTTCATTCCCAGATTCACATCCGCTCGACGGCGTCGGCGTATCAAGTTGCATCGATATATTAGACACATTGCTATCACGTCGCTGATGTGTCGGTTCGGCAGCATCATACATTTGTATCGACATTGCCGAAACATTACTATCGCGTCGACGATGACTAATGACATCCTCAGGGCTAGCAGCAACGTTACTGCTGTCCAAAGAAAACGGCGAGGAATTAAGCCCATTCGTATTATTATTATGCGCCATTAATAATTGTGTGAAGTTGGTGTTCAGTGATGGAGGCATTGGACGCGCAATTTTTCGAAATAGTGGGGTGTGTGTGTGATACTGGTCAGTTTGATCAAAATATGAAGTCGCGTTTTCAGATATTGTAGTATTACTGCTACTATTACTGGTAATAGCATTATTATTGATGTTACCACCCGGGCTATTCATGTTGCTACCCCCTCCTCCGCTGCTCCCTTGCGTGGCAAATAATTTTCCTAGATCATTTTGTGAGGCAAATCGAAAATTCGGTGCTGCAAAAGAGTCCATCGAGAATTTAGAACTGCTATTGCTATTTGAATGATTAATAATATGAATATTCTCTTCATTTTTATTTTCCGCGTGATTTTCACGCGTGCTGTTATGCGAGTTCTCTGCCATTGGATTATTTTTCCTGTAATTTTTATGAAAATTTGTTGCGACACATGAAAGTAGTGTTCTAAAGAGTCTCAACGTAGAGGGTTACTAGGAGCTTGGGAAGGTGAAATAGTGAAATGCCGATACATTCAACCAATTCCAATTTGGTAAGAATACATACATTAGTTCCCGAATTAGATGTCGGGGGCAAAAGATTAACGTTAACGAGATAACGTTAACGAGATCTCGTTCTCACGTCACGAATTAGCCAGAAATGGTAGATGCATTATTACAATATGATGTAATCTATTGAATCAAAACGTTCATATTCCATTGCAATGATTCATATGATTCAGCAATTTCGATCTCTCGACTTTTAACATTTGTCAGAATGCTCGAATCTCTGGTTGCGAATGTTCTTAACCGTGTCCTTGGGGCATATGTATCTAACCTTGAATACAATCAACTTAACATTGCAATTTGGACAGGCATGTCTTTCTATAAACACTTGAGCATTAGCCGAGTTTGCAAGAATTCTTTGCATTTGCTTGCCACTTCTTGTTCCTAACCCTTTTTGTGTTAAAGGTGATGTCGTTTTAAGAAACCTACAGTTAAAAAAGGAAGCCCTTGATAAATTTGATTTGCCTATCGAAGTATTAGAAGGTGTGAAATTCGTAAATTATGCATTTCATAAAAAATTTTTCGAATGAATTAATCAAATTTTGTTGTTCCTTAATCCAGGGTATTTGGGAGAGCTGACATTAAATATTCCATGGTCAAATCTTAGGAATAAACCGGTCAAAGTCTTTATAAACAATGTTTATCTTCTTGCAGTCCCGAGGGCTGACACAGAGGTTAACTATTTTCTTATTTTCTTAAACATAATACGAAAACTTGATTTACTAAAATCACGCGTTTTCGAAATTTTAGTATGATCCTGAAGAGGAAGAGCGACGCGCTCAACAACTCAAGGAAGAAAAACTTGCAAATTCCGAATTATTACAGACAACTAATGCAGATATTTCTGAAGGTTCAAAGCTTTGTTATATTTCAAGTATCATATAGCAGAATAATAGACTCTTACGGAAACTTCTAATCTTTTCTCGATAAATTGATAGAGGACAATCAAAAGAATCAGTCTTTTGTAACTCAACTTGTCACGAAAATAATCGATAATCTTCAAATTTCAATAAACAATATTCATATCCGATACGAAGATAAGCTCAGTGATCCTGATGTGTGTATTTATCTAAAAGTTCGAATTTCTCGAACATAACAAATCTACTTACCCAACTTCTAAATACATTGTATTACAGCATCATTTTGCCGTCGGATTAACATTATCAGAATTTTCCGCAGTCTCTACAGACGCGAATTGGAAACCAACTTTCATCGAAGAAGAAACCATAGCAATACACAAGGTATCGATTGAATTATTTGACTAATAATAACGTGCGTATGCATATGTATCGTTTATATAATAATTAATTTACAATGTTTTAGTTGATCACGTTAGGTTCGTTGGCTATCTATTGGAATACAGATTCAAGGTCTCTTGCGGGTCATAAACTTGTTGACGCAATTCGCGTGTTTAATCAATTGGTTCTTACTTTTTTTTTTAATATATCCTGATTCATTACGCGTATTGTATTAGATTATAATTATCATTTTTCTATTATATAGATTGCATCAGAAAAAAATGACCCGACTGAACATCAATATATTTTAAAACCTGTTTCAGGCACCGGTCGCGTAAGTTCTTTTATGATTATTATTATTTTTTTTTACATAGTTTTTATTACATCTTTTAATTTTACCGAATTCATTAGGTTACGATGAACAAACAAGTTGACTTGAATACACCGAAAAACTCTGCAACACTTTTATTTGATGAACTGGGATTTGTCCTCGACGACGAGCAATACCGTGATGCTTTACTAATGATCGGATTATTCCATTTCTATCTAAGACAACAACAGGTATTCAGAATAAAATCAAAATTCAGTCTATCTGTTTCAATATTAATTTTCCTAAATTTTTTTTTTGATAAAGTACCGAAAATTCCGACCACCAAAAGAAATAACTCCAAAAGAAGACCCACGTGCATGGTTCCAATTCGCAATAAACGCCATATGTTCGGAAATTCATGAACGAAATCGAAAGTTGACGTGGGCGTATTTTGCAGAACGCCGAGATGATCGAAAAGCATATATAGAATATTATAAGAATAAGATGTTAGCACGATTGCCAATAGATGTTAGTACATAAGCTACCTTTTGATGATTCTTCGAAACGTCAATATGATTTTTTCAATTCGTGGAATGCATGTTGTAATCAATTTATAGGATCATGCAAAACTTGCAGCCTTGGAAAAAAAGCTGAGTTTTGAAGATATTCGTTTTTACCGATCAATCGCCAGATCAAAATTACGGAAAGAGAAAGCAATAATCGGTATGAAATTGCGGATTTTTCGTGTGGATTGTTTTTTAGTGCTCATTTTTTTTTTAAATTTGTTATTTCTTTAGCCCGAATACAAAAAGCACAGCAACGTCAACAGCAAAGTGGATGGCTTAGTAGTTGGTGGTATGGTGGACAGACAGAGGGAGATGTAAGCATCAATAATCATGATTATGCGAATATATAGTCTTTAAATGATACTAATTGATTTTTAATGACAAATAACAATGTTTCTAGTCTTCCACAGATCCCGATTCTGTGTTGACTGATGCCCAGCGACAAGAATTATATAATGCGATCGACTTTGATGAAAAAGCCGCTGTGGCCAAAACCATGGAGATACCACGAGAGGTAAATTCAAATTTATCATCGATAGATTACACAAAAAACCTTACATTACCGAATTCTTTTATAATAGGCTATAAAACTTTCTCTCAAAACACAACTAAAAACCGGTTCTTTCGCGCTAAAAAAAGAACCACATGGAAGCAACAGCTCAATATTATGTCTAACTTTCGACAATGTGACGACAAATTTCATTCAACGTCCGGACTCCTTTCTGGCTGAAAGTGGTCTAGGCAGTCTTATTGTTGATGACGGAACGACTGAGGGAACGCTATTTCCACAAATAGTTCGCGTAAAAAAAGATTATAATACTTTCGAAAATTCCAACGATTATGGAGAACATGAAAGTAATCCAGCTAGTCGAGTCAGGACTGACCAGAGTGACGAATGCCCTTTCTTCCAGTTTGTGTTTGAAAGAAATCCTTTGGATGGGCGCGCTGATAACGGGTTCTCGATGAAAATGCGACCGTTGGAAATCGTGTATAATCAGAATGCTATTGATTCTGTTGTACAATTTTTCAAACCTCCAGATCAACAATTGGTATCGACATTAATTGTAAGTATATTATTATTTTCTTTATTTTTGATTATTTGAATTTTCTAAATAATTTTGTATTTATAGGAAGCTGCAGGTGATACAATCGAAGGAATCAAAGCTCAAACTCGAGCAGGCTTAGAGTATGCATTGGAGGAGCACAAAACTATCGATGTAAAAATTGATATGAACGCTCCAATCATAATCATACCTGATAGCTGTACGAGGAAAGATGCTCAGGTGGTAGTCTTGGATTCTGGTCATATTCGGGTACAAAGTGATCTGGTCAGCAAAGAAGTCATAGCTGAGATTCAGTCAAAGGAAAGCACAAGTTATAGTGAGGAGGATTATAAGCATTTAGAGTCATTGATGTATGATCGATTCTCGGTAGATTTGTCTTCGACTCAGGTATTTTTTTACTGATCATTTTTTTTAATCTATTGTATTGATTTTGTAATATTAAATTTTAAATAATAAAATAGGTGTTAGTTGGACAATCGGTTGAACGTTGTCTTGAACAAATTAGAAACCCGAATGCCAATCATGATCTTCATCTTATTGATCGCATGAATTTACAGTTCTTTATCGAAATGTCTATCTTACCACAAGCGTCAAACTTAACAAAATTCAAAGTATCAGGACATTTACCTTTATTAAAAGCGAATTTCTCCGATCGAAAATACAAAATAGTGATGAAAATAGTTGATTTAATTACTCCAAAAAGCGAAGAAGTTAAAGAAACAGAACCTGAACCCATAACACCCAAACCGCATTATCAAGTCCGAGACTCTCTGATGCGTGAAAAATTGGGGCTTTCTAAAGGGTATATCGATTATTATATCGATAGTGGAACCGAAGACGAAGATGATGCTGAGGAACATGAGTTTTATGACGCGGAAGAACAAGAGGTATTTTTCAGTTATTTAATAATAAATAAAATAACCCTTATGTCTAATTTAACTCTAATGTACGATTAAATTCATCAGCTACCACAAGCCGCAAAAGTAAATCAACGGATCTTCGAGTTTAATTTCAAAGTTGATAAATTCTCTACAGCAGTGAAAAAAGCAAATCGAGATCCAACTAAACCAGAAACGTTATTAGTTGATATGGTGTTAGAACATTTTAATTTAAACTTTGTTCTTCGTCCGTTTGACATGTCAGCCGAGATATTCCTCAAATCATTAAGTATTGAAGATAAAATGTCATACTCGAGATCAGAGTTCAAGCATCTGGCTGCTTCAGAGGGATACGGCAGTAGTCAAACCAGCGATTCTAGTCATCTTGTGCACATTAAATATGTTAGCGTCAATCCACAGTCTCCCGAATACATGACGAGATTTGAAGGAATAGATCAAAGCGTTGATATAGAATTATCAACTATTAGTGTTATCATTACGCGCAAAAGCATTTTAAAATTATACGATTTTCTCTTGGATACATTTACTGCACCACCAGGCACACCTGTTTCTGCAACTTCTCCAAATCTCGAGGCAGCATCTGATACTCCTCAGGTCCAGAAAAAAGCATCGCAAAAACAAAATACGATGCGCGTGAAAGTAAGATTGAGTAGTATAGTATTTATACTGAATAATGATGGTGTAAGACTTGCAACAGGAAAGTTGTCACAAGCAGATGTGGCAGTTCTGATGCGACAAACCACGATGCGTGTAGGTGCAAGAATTGGCGGGTTTTCTTTATTGGAAGATATTTCACAACACGGGAATGGGAACACATCATTCCGAGAGTTGCTTACGATCGAAGGAGAGGAGATCGCCGTGTTCAAATACGAAACATATGATGAGAGTGAGCTCACATATCCTGGATACGACTCTATGGTGTATTTACGTACCGGATCTGCAAGGTTGACATTTCTTGAGGAACCGATACGTCTATTACTTGAATTCGGGAGTAAATTCGCACAAATGAAAGGTTTATACGATTCGGCACGAATGGCTGCATATGAACAGGCTGCCCAGTTACAAGAAAAAGTGCAGAAATTCCATTTCGACATTGTTATTCCCGCGCCGATTGTTGTCTTTCCAATTAGCCCTAACTCTAATGACTTGATTGTGGCGCATCTCGGTGAACTTTCCGCCTCCAACAAGTTCTTGAAAAATGACGAGGGTAACGAATTCTTAACGCAAATCAATGCAGAATTGAAGTCTATTCGTATGACTTCGCAATTTTATTCAAGCAAAGGGAACTTTCAAGAGTTGCAGATAATAAAAGATGTAGATATCAATTTCAAAATATCATCTTGTGAACATGTTGAAGGTTCGTTGAGACCGGATATGGAGGTTTGTATTTTATCTTTTGGGAATCGTTTATTTGATTCGTTCTTTTAATAAATAATTGAGAATTTTCATAGATTATTGGAAAAATGTCTGATGTGCGGATGAATCTGACAGAAAAGCAATACAAATCCTTAATGGACTTGTCGAATTCTGTCGTAAAAGTTTTAGGTAGTGGTGACGGTGGCTCTGAGCCAGTACAGGCAACACAATCTTCAAATTTGTTTTCATCTAGTATGCCTTACAGTCCCACGTTTATGCCAAAACAGCCACCCGCTCCTAAACCTCAAGACAGCGAGAATGTATGGACTTCCATAGATTTGACATTTGACGTTAATCAAATCTATTTAGAAATTTTCGAGGGTGATGTATCTCAAACTCAGACGCTCGCTGAAAAGAGTTTATCGATATTCTCGCTTAATAAAACGGGTCTCAAGCTCAAAATGCTTACGGATGGATTAATGGAAGCGGAATTGCGTCTTCAATCTGTCACCCTGAATGATACGAGGCCCAAAATAAAAAATGTGTTTAGAGAGATTCTGCCCGCGAATAATAAAGAGAGTCCACAATTTTTAGTCAATTTACAACAATCTAGTGGCACCGAGAAGTTTATTTTGGCTATTGTTACGGTGGATAGCCCAAAAATAATTTTTACATTGGATCATTTGTTTGCAGTAAGAGATTACTTTATGAGTGCATTTGATGCGCCATCGTCATCCGAAATCGCGCCTCCGGAGCCCAAGCAAATAACTGCATTAAAAAAATCTTCCACTGAACCGTATCCGATTCCGCCACCAAAACCTCCGAGACCTTCACGTCATTCTACTTTTCAATCAGAATCATCTGGTCAGTCGTTAACCCCATTAACACAAACTCTTTCACCACCAAAAGAATCAGAATCGAGTTCAGCGGAAACACCAGCCCTATCACTTAATTATCGTGTAAATATTTCACATGCGGAAATAATACTCTTAGCAAATCCCGAGATTACCAGTACAGAAGCAATTATTCTCTCGGCTGACGAAATTGTTGTCACTCAACAAGGAATCATGGCATTAGGTGTCTCGAAATTGGGCATGTTCTTGTGTCGAATGGATAAGCGAGATGCCACTTTATTACGATGGATTGATAATTTTGATATTTCAATGTCGATGGATAATCGAACCTCGAAGCCTGGTCAACAATCCACAGAAATCAATATCGAAGTCACAAATATGATCATGAGAGTATCCTATCGAGATGTCATGCTTATTATGTCAATTCTTAATAAATTATCTGAACTGTCGTCGCGGTCGGCAGCTGCATCTTCAGTTGACGAAAAAAGTGCTGAGGCGGAAAATTCATCCGGTGGAACGCTATCGCGTTCTTTTGATTATAGTAATTTCAATGCGATTAAAAAAGATCCGAATGCTTCTGGCGGTGGGGTAAATGAAAAACAGAGCTTAATATTGAGGCGCGAAAAGGTTAATTATAAAAAATCAATAATTCTTTCGTCTTGGATTTTTAATAGAACTTGCGGTCAATTATAAAATTATTTTTTTTTTATCATAAAAGCTTCGAGCAACTTTACAAGGCACTCAACTTGTCATGATTGGTGATGAGCATGATATTCCAATGATAGATATGAATGCAACTGAGATTATAGTAAATGTGGCAGACTGGTCATCACAGGTTATTATTGTATTGCAATTATATATATATATATACGACATAAACCTATTATTAATTATAATTTTGAAATTTTACAACAGATAAAAGTCGATACTACCGTTTCCACACGTATCAATTATTTTAATTTAACCAATTCGCATTGGGAACCACTAATCGAACCCTGGCAATATACATTACACGTAAAAAGCCATCTTTTGTTTTTGTCTATTATTTCATGTCTTCATTCGAATATTTATCTAATATATATACTCTTTTGATTGTATGCAGGCATCAAAGGCAAATAACGAAAGCCTTATAGTTGACGTCACATCTCAAATAAGATTGGAAGTAAACATTACTCATATATTTTTAGAAACGATGTTGACTAGCATTTCTATTCTGGGTCGACAACAAGAAGTAAACTCATTATTTAATAATGTTCATTGTATAACTTTTTCTTTGTGATACGAAATCAATTTATTGGGTTTTTTTAAAATACTTAGCATGTATTGAACACAGCAAGAGGATCTCGTACTCCCTATATATTGCGAAATAAGACAGGCTATGATATGCACGTGTGGGCAGTCTCACCAAATGATAACAACGAGGCAGTCATTCAAAAACTAGCTGATGGCTGTTATACTAATTGGCGATTTGACGATTGGCGAAAAACTCGTGAGGTTTGTTTATTCTAAATCTCTTGTTCTGTAAATTCTAAATCATTTACGCGAATACTTAATTAAATGTTTATAAACAACAAATACCAGACTATGACCGTCACGAAGAACATGCTCGGACTCCAGTTCGAAGGAGCCCGCTGGGAAAGTATTAAAGACATCCCTGTTGATCGAGAAGGCGAGACACTATATATACTTCGCCCAAAGTTAAATAATATATCACATCGACTAGTTTGTGATATTAAATTGAAAGATAATATTAAATATGTGACTTTTCGATCGGCGCTTGTCATTGAGAATCGTACATTGCTTACTATCGAAATGATGGTAGTGGATGCTCAAGGTCAAAAATTGTCGAAAGTTTATCAGATTGGTAAGCTTTTTTATAACACACATTAATTTCTTAATCGTATTTCATAATATTTATAATTCATTCAAGATCCGGGCGAAGATTGTCCTGTGCCAATCGAGTCAACTTATCATCATCAATTAAAATTCAGACCTGAAGGTAATTTCAAACTGCTAAATGTAGGACGATGTTTTAATTCAATTAATTTTTAATTTTATTGTAGGTAACTTTGGATACGATTGGAATGTCGCTAGTATATACTGGAAAGATTTTCTGAAAAAAGATCCAATAAAGTCGATTTCATGTAAATCGATTCGAAAAGATGTTCCCTTCAGATTTCAAGTAAACGCTCTATACAAAAAGAATAACCCGATACTCAAGTAAAGATTATTTCTATTCTGTTTCCTCTAATTGAAACTTACAAGATTCAATAACTAAATTGTACTTTACAATGTACAGAGAATACCCTCACATGAGCATCCGACTCAGTGCACCCGTGCAAATCGAAAACTTGCTTCCATACGATTGCGAATTCCGCATCTTTGATAAATCGACAAAATACGATTGGCCAAATAATAAGTTGAAAAAAGGGTGTGTTCATGCGTTACATTTAGTCGAGTTAGGGCATTTGTTGTTGTTGAGTGTTGATGTTCAAGCTACAGGTTTGTATTTATTTTTTTTTTGCTACCAGAAATCATACATTTTTTAATAGAATATTAATAATGATTTATTTGATTAAACTTAGATTTTAAACCCAGTGAGTGGGCGATCATAAGTACCCCTAATGAAGATTTCAAAATAGATGATACATTGACGCTCACAGACCCTGAAGGATTGAAATTGAATCTTCGAATATCATATCAGTATGTCTATATTAATTATTTGTGATTGTTGTGTTTAGTAAAATTTTATGAATATCGCCTCAATTATGCTTTTGAATATAGTGAAATCCCAGAATCTGGTGGAGCATTCAAGTACACCATATACAGTCCTTATGTGATGATCAATAAAACTGGTCTTGACATGGTATTCAAATCACAGTCTCTCTTGCAATCAGCGAAAATTGCTGCGGGACAAGGTATATTTTTTTTTATTATGTTATTAATACATAAATTAGATTGTGTAAGAGATAACATATTGTATTATTTTTTTTTCTATTCCAAATAGGATGGCGTCGACAAACTCATCATGTATGTTTATTTATTTATAAACGTTCTTAATGTTTTGTGGTAGTAAATGTTCGATTATTTAGATTAATAAAATTCATAGGCTGCGCCATACATGTTTTCTTATCCGAGTGACGAAATACGAAATCGTGCATTGTTGAAAGTTGGCGATTCAAATTGGAGCAGGGTACAGCGTTATTGTTATGCTATACTCCGTCTAAATTAAAATGATATTTGATTGGTAATCTTTATTTTTTTTTTTACTTCGTTGTAGTCATTAAGTTTTGAAGCAGTAGGTAGTTTTATGGAAGTAGTCATACCATCCGCTCAACGCATGGAAGAAATTCATGTCGGTGTTAGCATACAAGAAGGCGATCAGAAAGTAAGCAAACAAAATCCAATTGTTTTGTTAGTCAGATATAGACTTTGTAATAATTGTCTTTTTATGTTTTTATTTGTAAATTAGTACAAAAAGATCAAAATTGTCACTTTCACTCCGCGATTTATTCTGAAAAATAACACAAATGAAGATTTGAATTTCCGAGAACCAGGATCCTCAAATTTCACACTTTTGGCCTCGAAAGATCGTGCTGCACTTCATTTCCTTAAACAAGGAGATGTTAAACAATTGACGATTTGTTATCCGGGGCATAGTAATCCATGGTATGATTTTTTTATTATTATTCTGTCAATTTATCATATTGCTGACAATCACAAAATAATTAGGTCTGCCCCATTCAATATTAACGAATTGGGCCGTGTTCACGTGAAAATGGGGAAAAAAGACCAAGAGCCTGGACTCATCCGAACAGAGATACTACTGGAAGATGCGACAATATTCATCATATTTAGTAAGGAAGAAGGAAAATGGCCATATCGTGTTGAAAACTTTTCGGATGTTGATGTTGTTTTTTATCAACAAGTAAAATGATTTAGTATTTAATAAATAATATTTATAAAATATAATGTCGAGATTAATTTCTTGAACTGATAGGATCCGCATCGACGCGAAGCCTCAGCTTCCAGGCCATCAATGCCGAAATATCATCTGGCACCAGGAAATTCAGAGCCGTATTCATGGGATTCCCCTGCTATAAAGGATAAACGACTAGTACTAAATGTAAATGATCACGAAAGGTTAATAAATATTCAGGAAATTGGGTCACTAGTGCCATTCAAATATCCGGTAAAAAACTTCAATGAAATGCATCACTTGTCCTCGTTTTTTTTTTCAAAATATTTAATTGCAAATTTCAATTTATAGTCAAAAGAAGGTGGTCATAAAGCATTATCTATCGAAGTTGTGGCTGATGGACCAACACAAGTTGTATATCTGACCAATTATAAACAATCTGAGAGTATATTTCGACCTTTGCGTTCTTCCATGTCTACAAAATCAGATACTAGCACAAAAGAAGATGGATTTGAAGAGGTGTTTCTCTTTTATGCATTTCTTGTATTTCTTTTCGTGATCTCATTATATATGCTTACTGGATAATGAAATATATTCGTTGTTTGCGTTGTAGATTGACGTGGATACTGTTACTACACTTATATTCCAAGTCAAACTTGAAGGAATCGGTATCTCAATAATTAATAAAAGAATGCAGGTTAGTTTTTGTTTATTGGCCAGACAAAATATCTAATTTTTTACAAATAGACCAATAACTCGTTAATATTTTTGTATAGGAACTTGCTTATGCATCCATGCGTGGAATGGAATTGAAGTATAGTGACTCGACGCTATACCAATCAATAAACTTTGTGGTTCGATGGTTACAAGTAAATGATTTCGTGTTATTTACACCTTACGGTTATCAAAATTTTTATAATTAGATACAATAATAATGATAATGTTTTTTTTTAATAGATTGACAATCAATTATATGGCGGTCTTTACCCTATTATATTCTATCCGATTCTTCCTAAAGATAGTAAGGGAACAGTAACGCACCCCAATTTCCAATCTACACTTATTAAAGCCAAAGATGATTGTAATTATTTTTTCTGTTTGATTATGAATTTCGATCAGGGTTGACATTGGAACAACTTTCAAATTGGACTGGACCAAAAGTTCAGTTCAATCGATGCATATCACATGATTTATCTGTGAGCCCAATACCAACCCTGATTTCTTTGCATCTTAATATAAAATAACATGATACTAATCGTTATGATTTATCTCGTTAATAAGCACATGGTGTCATATACATCAAATATTGCTCGGTGCTGTTGCAAGAAATGAATTTTGAAATCGACGAAGATTTCTTGTTTGCCTTGCTTGATTTCTTAAAATTGCGAGGCCTAACTACAGAAGATGATACAGAAAAAGAATTGTACTTGTTAATTATTTTTTATTTGTGTTCTCTCTTCGATTAATTGATCTTGATATTAATCGATTTTTGGATATTAGGCAACTCTTTGACGGAAGTCTTGATATTCCGGAACCGAAATCAAACGAAGGCGATGATCAACTGTATTTTGAAGTTTTGCATATTCAACCAATGAAAATTAATATATCTTTTGTGAGGACGGAGAGAATTAATGTCGAGGACAAGTATGTTGGCTTAATAACAAAGCATTTGCTTTTATTGAAAAAGGGATTTTATCGCTGATTTTATTTTTTAAAACAATACTTTTAATTCAAGACCTGCACCTCGTAATCCACTCATGTTTTTCTTTAACGTATTAACAATGGCAATCGGAAATATCAACGTAAGATCTTTCACTTCTCTGTAAGAATATTTCGAAGTGCTTATAATATTTATCTTCTACCTTCGCTCTTAACAGGATGCTCCAATAAAGTTGAACGCCTTGTTCATGGAAAATCTGCGAGTTAGTGCCCCCGTGCTCTTAGATCGTTTTCAACAACATTATGGACAAGAATTTTTCTATCAAGTATGCTACTTTTCTGTTCTCTCATACTTATTGGACATTTTACGAAAGCTTTTAATTATTTAATTGATTTTAATAGGTGCATAAGATTGTCGGGTCAGCGGATTTCTTGGGAAATCCTGTCGGATTATTCAATAATTTAGGATCAGGAGTGGCAGCTATCTTTTATGAACCATATCAAGGTTTCATTATGCATGATCGACCTCAAGATTTCGGAATTGGTCTGGCAAGAGTAAGCTATAATTACCATTAAATTACAGCAATATATCATTTTGGTAAAATTCAAAAATATTCACGTTCTCAATACATTTTATCTTTCAATTAGGGAACTGCAAGCTTTTTCAAAAAGACAGTATATGGATTTAGTGACAGTGTTTCGAAATTCACAGGAAGTATTGGCAAAGGTTGGTTTTTTACAAAAATTTAGATACTGACAATTAAATAAAATGCGCAAGAGAAAATACGTCTAATTCTTTATTATTGTTGTAATAAGGTCTTTCTGTTGCCACAATGGACAAATCATTCCAAGATCGTCGACGAATGGCTCAACTCCGTAATCGACCGAAACATCTAGGCTATGGTGTCAAGCAAGGAGCGAATTCTTTTATTACTAGTATTGAAAGCGGGATAGAAGGATTAGTGGTAAGAACTTAATTACACAGTCAGCCTGGATAAACCTGATTCTGGATAACCAAAACTTTCTCGGAACAGTTTATAAGTATTAGTATTGGATGAAGTTTTGGCCCGAAACGGGAGCTTCTTAGGCTTACTGTGTATTATTATAGCAATTGTAAGTAGATTTAAATACGACTTGGTTTCTTTTCAAAATAGCGAAAACCAATTGAAGGAGTCGAAAAAGAAGGTGCTGCTGGTTTAGTCAAAGGATTTGGCAAAGGGATTGTTGGGTATTTATTTTCATATCTAAAAAATTCTCGTAATATTTTTCAGAAGCATACACCATTTTTATGTTACTAACAAATGAACGTTATCCTTTAGACTTGTAACTAAGCCTGTTGTTGGCGTTTTTGATTTAGCAAGTAACGTGACTGAAGGTCGGTAAATTTATAATTTATTTAGTCAATTCATCGAAACAAGAAATTAATCCATTAACAAAAAAAATAATAGGTATTCGAAATACGACCACTGTATTCGATGACAATGAGATTGCACCCGTCAGACTACCACGATATGTTGGACGCGATGGCATCCTAAGGGTATTTTATTTTTTTTATTATTGCCAAAACTTATTCTCAATCATTGTTTTACTGAAATTTATTTCGTCTTCTAAAAACAGCCATATGATCAGAAGGAAGCCGAGGGTCAATCTTTATTAAAAGAGATTGAGGACGGAAAATATTTTAATGAGGAATATTTGGCGCATCTTGGTAATTAATTGAAGGAACATTTTACAAAAAAAAATATCCGTTAATTAATAAATCGTTTTATTAGATTTACGACAAGACGACATGACAGTTTTGCTAACACGGACGCGTATCATTCAAATACGAAAAAAGAAAATGAAAGTGGAGTGGGAGGTCTCATTTTCAGGTAAACCTAAAAACCAACTACCCACGATAATTTTTTATTATGCTTTATTCATTTATTCCTCCATTTAGATCTTCAAACCATTTCTCTACAACCTAATGGTATATTATTAATACTTCGAAATAATCTTCCCGGACCATTTATTCCGATACCGGATAAAGAGAGCAAGGAGTTATTTGAAAAACACGTTGAAGAAATAGTTAATGAGTATAATATGGAGAAAAGAGCTGTCGAATAAATCAGATACCACCCATCACACTAATTCTCAATAGAAAATAATAAATGTGTAAATAGAAAGAAATAAATTAATATCTTTGTCATTGCTGAACATAAAACATTTTCCCCTTAGATTCTGTCTTAAAATGAGGCACGAGATGGATTATTGAATTTCCATAACCCTGAGTATCGGGGTACTATTCAAAATTTTGCGACTGTTTTCGTGGACTTGTAATGCGTTGCGCCCAGAAAATCTGAGTCCACAATCACATGGTTCTATCAAGGTTTTATCTTTCATTTCATTGAAAAAATTTTGATGCATCATAGTGTGTATCAAAATGTACGTGTCCCCATCCATTCGTTTATCTCTTCAAGATATGTTC